GAAATGTCAACTGACTAAAATATTTCAATAATAAATTATTCCATTCAATAAAAGCATCAATAGTTTGCCTAGTTTTAAAATACAATTTCACTATAACGCATTGAAAGAAATAGCACTAATGTAAAAGCTCTGCCATGTGCATGAGTCCATATTAAACCACAGCCCCTAACCAGCGGCTTTAGTGTATTGTTAAAGGTCTGACAGACCCACAGCCACAAAGAAATTCAGAGATCAGGCTAAAAATCTTTACTCACCACTTTGTGCCTGGATATAATTCACTGACTGTATGAAGGATAGGCCAGTAATTCTGAATTCCCTGTCTTTGTAGGTTTAACGTAAAACTATTACAATAGTCAGTATCTTAAAATAATAGTGCCTAATGTTAAGGATGTTGTGCATAAACACACATATATTACACAGACCTGTTTATATATGTGGTCTTTTTTTTCAAAATGTGGGGGCAAAATGATTTTGATTACCTCATTAAAACACAAACAAAGAAATATTGACCATTCAATCAGGAGTTGCATCCATTGGACTGTATGATAGGGACTTTCCAAATGCAATTGAAGAAAATGTATCTCATAAATAATGCTCTGCCCATTAAGTCACAGACAGTCATCTCATAGTTCACAGGATGCAATATGAAAAAGCAAGGTGGTCAGCATGATGATGTGGAAATTTTTGCAATAGTTCAAAATGAATTAAAACCAGTAATGAACAAAAAAATTACTCTCTTCTTGAGATATAACCTTGTTTACTACTTCTATTTTTTTTCCTTATTTTGAAGCATTCTATCTTATTCATGATTCCCTTACATGAATGGAAGGTAAACAGAGGCACTGAAATCTCACATGACAGTAAAGCATCTCACAGCCGTGTATTTTAATTTCTGGCATACATTATGATCCGCACTTAATGGATCCTCTGTTCTTATGCCATTTTGATTATATCAGCATGTATTTTAGTCATTGATCACCAACTCTATTTGTCATTTATATCATAATTTGACATCAATAGAAGAAACAGGATGAGATGTAAACAAAATGATACAGAATTTCAAAATAATAGTTGAACATGAATTATGTTTGCAGTGCATGACTTGTCAGTACCAGATTTAAGAGTAATGAATGCTTCCTTGTATTGCAGTCCCAGAAATTCAATAAAAGCAAGAAAAAAGCTGCTTTCAGAGTTAAAAATAAAATAAAAATAAAATGCCATCGACAGTTTATAATCACTTCTAAGTCTTTCTTATTAAGAAGTCAGGGATGGACATGAGATGCCTCATGTTACTGTTATCCGTGGCTCTTTAGTAACAGTTCTTCTAATAAAACCCTGCTGTAACTAGCATGCTTTCAGAATTCAGCTTGGTCCCAGCAATTTACTTTTCCAGTTGCTATTTCCACCTGTACAGACACCAGAGAAGCAGTGAAGAATGCACCATATCACTATTTGGCTGTGTAAAATCTGGACACTCAACCTTTAACACTCAGTTTGAGGTCAGACTAACAATTAGGAGTTTTAATGCAGAAGTTACCACTTTTAGCAACACTAAAATTCAGTAATTTTTGATCAAAATTAAACATTTAAAATTTTAGTTTGTGGAAATGTAATTCAGCTTTAAATGGCATTTCCTCCCCTCTTTTAATATGCTGGAATATGATTAGATTTCCTCAACTCTAATGATGTACTATGAAAAAAGAGTAGGGGGAGATATGATCCTTCAGAGCCACAACAGCCATCCACATTAAATACTGTGCACTGCAGGACTGCAGTTGTTGCTTTATCAAAAACTACAGAAAAGCAAACATTTCAAGTTTATTCAAATAATTTACATAGTCTCAGCTGAACTGAAGCAGACATTATACTTTGACATTGCAGCAGAAATGCTGAAACATATGAAAACTTTGTTCTCTGTCCAAAAATGCCCCCAATAGCCAAGAAAACACAGATTTTCTGAAGTGACAATGACTATCTTTAAATAAAGGAAAGAAGAATACTGTAAGAAATCAAAGAAATGGGCCATTGGAGTGCTTTGGCATAAAAATGGCATAAATGAATTTATCACCAGTGCAGTCTGATGAAGCTTTTCAGATTTTTAGTATTTGCTTATCTTTGTTAATACACTCAGGCATGTATGTATCTTCTGAGAGGTCTGCTTTAATGGCTGAGCCAAAAGGAAGTGTTAAAAGACACCAAAAAATTACTATAAGTAGTAGCTTGTTTTCCATGAACAATGCTATCCACTTGCAGACCTCCAGAAATGCAAAGCTGATCTCTATATTAAAAAAAAAATAATTCCAAAAAGTACAAAAGAGGTAAATGAAAAAAACCAAAAAGCTCACCCCAAAACTGGAGGTAAGCTTTGTAAGAAATGAAACACAACCTGGCAACTTGAACTCAGTATTTATTTTGCACTTCATGGTCCTGTCTTTTAACTTAAAGTTGTTTATAAATTATATCTGAAAAGATTCCTGGAGAATAAGCTCAGAGAAAGAGCTAACCTGATGATTTATATATTTTAGTAGTAAAAAGCAGCACAGTTATATATAATTTTACATACACAAGAATATGTATGCATATATAGGTGAGACAGAGTATGCTCATGATGGGATGTTCTATGCTAAATTAATCTTGGCTAAATTTTGTTTTTCCTCACGACAAGGCAAATGTAGCGAGATTTCAGTAACTTTACAACCAACTCTGTGTACCACCCCTGCTTTCTAATCCATGAATTTTACCTTCTGGACAATCTGTGTTAAAAGAAAAAAGTTTCTGTGGTCTCCCTCCCCCACTCACCCACCCTTTAGGTATAAATTTATTAAATTGATTAAAGAAAAGTACATGATATAGAGGAATAATCTGCCCTTTCCAGATGAAAGTGTGATTGCTTTTAATTATAGATTCATGACATTTACCTAAATTCTAAGAGGACACATTCTTTCTTTTTAGAGTTAGTTTCATCAGGACTTCAATACAATGCATAAAAGGAATGTAAAATATTTGTTTTGGGGTATTTTTTATTTTTTGTTTTGAAAACCAAGCAGATTGTACAATTTATTTTCAGTGTAGGAGTCCATTCCATATGTGCAAAATCAACATGAATATTGTAACAACTTTTATGACAGGACAAACTGAATTTATCAAGACACAGCTGAGTAAAGAGAAAACTGCATATTTTCTGAATGACTGACTTTTAAGAATAAAAAAATGTGGAAAGCACTGTTAAAATGGATATTTTTATAATACATTTACACCTTGGCAAAACCCCAACCACTCTTTACTTTTCACACACTGACTGAAGTTCATTGAAAAATAAGTTTTTTTGCTTTCACTGATCAGTTTGGGAAACTAATTTGGAACTTTATCGCTTTCATGGCCAAAACTCTTTAATTTGTTAGTCTGATTTTATGAATGGATAGAGACATTACTTGTGTGCTATTACAATCCTTAAGTTTAAATAGCTTTCTCCTAGCTGTGTAACCTCTGATGTACCTACAGAAAACAGATGTATTGGCTCATATTTAGCCCACTTACTCCTAGATATATAAAGACAAAACAGACATGATGTACTGCAGATTGCGCTTTTTTTTTTCTCTACTGAAAGTGACAGAGCACCTAAAGCGCTTAATTCCAAGGATAACATTTTAGTTATTTTAAGGAGGGAAGTATAAGACTGTTTAGTATCTTCCAAATCCTACGCATTTAATCAAGCCAGTAAAAATTCACTCTAATAGAAGTCTGGCTTGAGGCTTGGTATATATATTTACCTCATTTGGCAGGATAGATTTGTAGACAATCTAAGCTGTTAAAATATGAAATGCTCTCTATATCTCTGAAAGTTTCAGCCTTATCATGTTGGTTGTCCTCAAATACTGAAGTATATAAAGACAACCAAACTCCACTCATGCATTAGCACATGGATGTTGTAGAAACATCTAAAGCATTCACCTGAAATTAAGCACATGCCCACAGTCCTGCCTACTATAAAGAAAAGAAAGTTGGTGTTCATAGAAACAGAATGCAACCTCAAAAATAATGCTGATATACTGTAGAGTGGTAAATACTGTATTTATTGTTATGGTTTGTGTGGTTTCTGTGAATGGGAAGCTATACAAACCTTACAACAACTTACCACCTTTAAAACACTGATGCCAAGGGGAAGTGCTGAGAAGTAGTCAAGAGTCACTTTTATATATCAATAAATTCAACCAAACTGTTTTGTTTTTTAATAAGTATAATACAATAAAACCATTGTAAATTTGTTATTTCCCTACTATGTGATAAAATATGAGCTTATAGAAGCTGATTACTACTGCAATGTTTTTTTACCACTACACTTTGTGTTTTAGATAGCAACAGTGACAACAATGAAGTGCCACCATTTTATGTTAGCTATAGCATACGCCCATGGTTTTTAAACCCAGCTTTCATCATATTGAGCTTGTTTTTCATAGAACAAGATTATTAACTTCCAGGATCTGGGCAGTTTCAAATGGCTTCAATTTATTTAGAGAGTGGTATATTAATTTCCACCAACCACAATTTGACTAAACCTAAACACGTCTGTTTTTCATATTGCTTGCCAACAATAAAATAACCACTTTCAAATAAAATAACTGATATTCAAGTTGACTTTGTTGTCTGCAGTGATACTGATGGAAGTGCTAAGTCTAACCATTTTCTAAAGAGCATATAATTAAATTTTAAGAAAAAATGTTTTTAGGAAACAGTGTTTGCTTTGAACAACACGACTGATTCAAAATAGGGCCTTGAAGTCATCTGGCAATATCAAAGGGTTAATTTAAGCAGGAAAATAAATTGTTTACGTATGGCTAGATAACATGAGACTCGGTAATAAAAAATGCAAGTCCCTCTTCTGCTTTTCTTTTCTAGATTAATGAAACTTTCATGTTTGGTATTGTGTCTTGATCTGTTTGGTTACTGCTGTCAGCCTACCCTTCCACCCCCGGATGTTGGAATCCTGCTCCAAGATCACTATTTTTACTAGTGGGACCATACGAGAAACATTTTGCTTACACAGGTATGGATATGGCAGTCTGCCATGGTACACCCAGACTGGAGTTAGGGCATAGAGCTGAAACACACAGTCTAAAGGCAGGTGAAAAACAGACTGAAAATAATGCTGCTTCCCAAAACTGGTTTTAAAAATTCAGAAGCACATAAACAGGAATTTCTCCCCACCTTTAACCGCCCCCCCCCCCCCCCCCCGAAAACATTAGTGTCCTCTGTCCTGTTTACAAACTTGGATTTGAAAATATAAATCATACATTAAAATTTCTATTTTGCTTTCACACATTTCATCTTTACTGACATCACATTAACATAGGAAGAGGTAATGTTGTTAATAATGAAAAAGAAGACCTACTCCCCAAACCAACCTTTTATTGAATTGGGCTTCCTTCCCTTTGTGGAAATTCCCATTCCAGATACTTAGATGGTAATGAGAGACACTTATTGATTACATTGGAGTTTTTAATGCTTCCTTTTAAGTAGAAGCAGCAGATACTATTCTAGACCACTGACAGTCCTCTTCATTGCTGACAAGGCATTTTCACTAGGTGATACATAAATGTGGTCACCCACCCTATGTGCTTTTCAAGTCCTTCATACCTAACTTAGACTCCTGATGCTGAGGTCCTAAGGAAATCTCTATCTAACTGACCTGTGCAATAAAAAGTAACACTCATGGAGTCAAATGACAGTAATAGATGCAGTGTCCCCGGCTGCTCATGGTAAAAATAACTGGCTGTCAGGATTTACAACACAAAACTAAACCACAGTGGACCAGTTAGTTAATACTATTACTTAGTAAACATTCCCATTTTTTTATTTGTGACTTTCTGCTTTTATTTTGCCCTGTTGATGTTATACTGTTTGTAGATAATATACTTGGCAATACTCACAATGTAATTTCAGTTTTCTTTAGGTTGTTGATGCCAGTGTTATGTCACGGTTTGCCACTACTGGCACTTGTTTCAGCCACTCCTGGGCCCTGGAAGACCCCAGTTCAGAACTGCAGTGACTACAATCCCCAGCTACCTGAGGCTCACCTCAGTATGGTATTGAGATCTCAGCGCTTCCTACATTGAAATTGTACAATCCTGCATCTGCTGTTTTTTTGCTACCTGCTTGCTGGTTTCTCACAGCAAGAGCTTCAAATCTTCCAATCAGTCTGTAAGTTCAGGATTATTTTAGGTTACTGGTGACAATATTTTTTGCAGTCTTTTACTGTGCCCACACTTGTAACTAGCAAAATATATCTCTTATAGGTCCCAAATTCAAACAGAGAATTAAAACCTTGAATTCAGCCTGCTGGATGTGGAATCACGGGCAACTTTGCTCCCTGTAGAGATATGAATTAGTTTTCAAAACCCAGGTTATTACAGTCCATATTCAGAATGAGTTACAAGTAACTAGGTACATCTGAAGTAGTAAGTTATGGCATCTTTTGTAAGGAAAAAGCCAATTGTAAATATTTCTGTGTTAATGGTTTAGGATAAAAACCAGCTAGCACTTAAGCGAGCTATAAATTAAATCTTGAATTCTAGGTTAATGGAACAGATACAATAGAAATATTTAGAATAAATTGTTCCAGAGCAAAATTTCTCAGCCTTTGACTTCAAAACAAAGCACAGTTATAAACACCGCACTTTGAATTATAAAGCATTTAAAGCCTGTTAGTCAGCTAAATGGGAGAAAAAACCTGCACTAAAGCTTTAAGCAACACTTTGGGACAATAACATCCTCATTAAAAAATAAGGATACATCAAAACTCTGCAGTTAAAAGGTTAAGTGTTAGTCTGTGTGTAGTTGATAAATGTTGAGCTAATCTAATCAGTGGTTGTAAGAGGCAATGCCATCAGCTAGCTGCCCTGACCTGTGCTTCTAGTTTTCACAAAAGTAAGATTTAAGAAAGATGTCAACTTAAGGCCTCTGACCTATCAAGGACCTTGTTCGTGCCAGCCTGGTGTTCTGCTAAACAGACTGAGAACTTTCAGCTCAAATCAGTAACATGTGCACTTCACTAATACAACACATGGCTTGGAAATTAAAACGCAATGTGATCAAGTGCTTTAGGATATTTTAACAGTTAAGAATGCAGCTTGGGGGGAGGAAGCTTGCTTCTGTGTTTTGCTTTGGGAAGGGGAAAAAGGACAAATTCAATTGTACTGCTTTTCTTCAAAAAAGTGGGGAAACAAAAATTTAGTTAATTAGTTCATGAATGACTGACCTAGGGGAAATAAGGAGGTTGTATGTTTCTTTATGATGCGTGTCAGTTATTAGATAAGTAGGTTTTACTACTTCCAATTGAGCTAAGTTAAAACTAATTAGAAGGTAGTTAAATTACAATATAAATACAATAAAAGGCAGTAAAAATAGCAAATGGCATTTTGCTCATCAATAATATTCCTATATGCAGTTGATTATTTTCAACAGTTTCTGTACTGATTATTTCCAATTATTAGAGTAACAAGCTTTGCCAGCTGCCGAAATGAAATTTAACCCCACATAGATTAACTAGCACAGACTTTTCCCATATGCCATCAGTTAACCGGAAAATTTATTTCATGCCATCTTTTACTGGTACTAATGTGATTCTAGACATTACATATGAATCTGGACTTTAGAAATCAAAGTCCATCCACCCTTTCTGATAATTATGGAATGATCAAGCCTAAAACTGACAGAGAGACCTAGTGATCTAGTTACAGATTACTACCAACATCTTGGGCAGTGTTTTTACATTTGATAATAAAATGATGATGCTTGTAATACCTATGCAGATTTTCACTTATTACGGGTGATGGTTACATACTCCTGCTTTACAACTATGCAGTAACAATAAATGTATCTACATATATATATTCATATATTTCTTCTATCTCAAGTAGCTTTAAAATAATTAGGTAACTAGTTTTTGGCATACATATGCTTCTCCTTTGCATGTCCAGTTGTTTTCCTACTTGAGTAGGAAACAAACTTCTGAACTTGGATGAGCCAAAGATAACAATGCTACATTAAAGAAACTAAAAGGAGGAAATAGGGAAGTTAAACTACCTTCCACTAAAAAAGACTGTGTATCTCTTTTCAGTAGTGAAGAATGGAACATGCTAGCTTAATTTTCATCTCCTACTGGATGTCCAGACAGAAGAAGTGACTTCTGCTGTTTTCTTTCCTTGTATTTGGAAGATGCTTCTCCTGATTTTAGAGTGCAAGTGTATATTAAATTCCCAGTCAACCTATTTCCTTAGTTTTCAGAGAAATGAAAGAACATGCCAAGAAAGCAAATGGAAGTTATTATACTTACTGGAATAGATGGCTGAGAGGATATTAAGACTGCAGATTGGGCAAATACAGTTCACATTATTTGGATTTCTTTTGCAATTAAAATTGTTAGTGAAAACATACAAAAGCATTGGTTATAGGCAGTTTAATCATATGTAAATATATCTACTTCTATGTATAAAGCTACTTATATTTCAACCTACATATTTATGCCAGATTTTTCATCACTTGTTTATACCTGCTAATGACACAGGCAGTGACTCCTTCCTTGTAATAAAGTAAGTAAATACATTGCAGGAATGTAGAACGGGCACTTAGCATTACACAGTACAAAAGGTCTTAAACATTTTTCTGTGTAAGGGAGCTCTGCATTTAAGAATTGAACATGCTATTGTACTTCTGCAAAAACATTTCCTTCCATGATTTAATAAAGGAATAGCACATAGCAGGACATTTTCCTAATGGCTGTGAACTTAAAAAATCTGATTTAGCAGCCATATGAACTATAATCTGCTATTATTCACAATACCTTCATGAATTCAAAGTAATTTACAGAGCATAGGTGAAAGGATTTTATATTTGTGGAAGACTTAATACTTAAGCCAACTCAGAATTATGACACACACATCCCCTAAAACTATGCAGCAGTATCTGCTTTAATAGAAGCAGCACTGATACGCAAAGACCTGTTTGCAGTTTTGGAATAAATGAGTCTGTTCTATATTTCTATTCCAGGGATACTCAGTGCAGGAACTGAGATTGTCATTGGCTGTACTGGTTAGACTCTAGCCAGACTAAGACAGGTATTCAAGAAACTGATTTATGCTATTCCTGCATATCTTTATATGAAAAATAAAAATCTAAAACCAAACAAACCTCAAAAGTTAAAGCTCCGTTTAAATATTTTCTGCACTAGTTTTATGTCAGCTTTTCGAATATACTAACTATAGACCTATGCACCATTATATAATGGAAATATTTATGAAAAGTCGTAAGTACATAGAAATACAGGAGCTTGGCAAGTACTCAAAGGTCTGGCAATGGAAAATAGCGTCCATTGTTTCAGCAGATTAGGTGCAAAACTTTAACATATCTGTTTAATGCCTTTCAGAATTTACTCATCATTTTCCTTTTTATCTTTATATAAAAATCATTGAATTCAAATTGCTAAAAATATTATTCAGTTTAGTCTAGATACAACTTTTATAAGGAATGTCCTGTCATGATTTTTTTAAGCCTGTGATTTTTATAAATGTTTCATTAAATTAATCCACTGCATAAAGAAATAGCCTCCTGATTCCTAAATCAGAACTGAAGTGTCCTTTTTTCCCATATAGATGCTTCTTGCCACAACACATAACTTCTGTCAGTCCTGCAAAGCTCTAGCATCTTCTGCAATAAATAAAATAGACATTTGACTTGAAAGAAATAAAAAATGAAGAAATCCTCTTCCTCCAAGACCAGTAACTAAATGTGATAAAAGCACTGAAAATACCTCCTAAATCAAACTTAGTAAGGAAATTTCTTATTGAAGAAAAGATAGAAAAGGTGTTATGAGGGATAATTTTCAACAAGCAACATTGGAAGATCAAGGTGTAGCCACTACATTGTGAAACAGTCTCCAAAACTCACGGTACCATTGAAATACTACCCTTTTAAGATACTATTAAAGACACTTCAAAGGTATCTTTCTTTAAAGAAAGACATTTTCCTAAACACTGAACACTTAATTTTAATTGTTTATTTTTAACTAAGTTATTGTTTCTCAAGCAACAGATCACAAAATAGAAAAGGATATAATAACAAATGATTTTTTTTTTTTTACCCACTGAATAAATACAGCTTCCAAATAAAATAGTGAGCTGTACCACAACATCCAGGATCCACACAGCATGCATTAAAGACTTTGGGCCATGCCTGCCTTTGCTTTGCCAGCTTTGAATTTGTCCATACTTTGCTATGAATTAATTACTTGTCTATCATTTTTACATTTGCTCTTTTCAAATAATGTATTTAGAAAATCAAATTTTGGTTTAAATTAAATATGTCAAGAAAGTAAAGGAATAAATGTAGCTGGAATTTCAACTATTTGGATGCCACTGTTGACCCCAGCAGGAGTCATACAGCTGAACTGCAGACAGTAGAGAGTGAAAATAGACTGAGAGTGTGTCCTGGGTTCAGCAGTAGCAGTCATTTTTCTCCTTCTTGGTAGCTGGTGCAGTGCAGTGTTTTGACTTTCGGCCTGGGAACAGAGCTGATAACAAGGATGTTTTGGTTTGGCCAAGGACTTTGTGAGCCTCATGCTCTGGCAGGAAGGAGGGGAAGCCGGGAGGAAGCAGAGACAGGACACCTGACCCAAACTGACCAAAGAGGTATTCCATACCACAGCACGTCATGCCCAGGAGGTAACTGGGAGTTAGCCGGAAGGGCTGGGAGACTGCAGGGTTGGAGGAGGTATGGGTTGGTGCTTGGTCGGGCTGGGGGGAGGGGGGGGGGCGAGTTATTGGTTGGCTGGTGGTGAGGTGATGTATTCTCTTCCCTTGTTATTTCCTTTATCATTGTTATTATTGGTGGTAGCAGTAGTGATTTGTGTTATACCTTAGTTACTAAACTGTTCTTATCTCAACCTGTGGGAGTTGCATTCTTTTTGACTCTCCTCTCTGTCCCTCCAGGAGTAGGGGGAGGGCAAGAAGGGGGGGGAAGTGAGTGAACGAGTTGTCTGGTTTGGTTTAAACCACGACAGAGTGAAATAGTAGAGAGTGAAATAGAAATA